AAGTAAAATGAAAGGCAGTGGTAATAAGGAGGGGACTGCCAAGAAATGCAAAGCAAAGTACATTGTATATTTACCATAAAAGTTTATTAAAAGACTCACTTTTTCCTACTTACAAGTGAAGTGGACTTATGAAGATTCGCCTGGAATGGAACTTGTCCTTACATTGGAGCCTCACTGTACTTACAAAAACAGAATAAAACAATAAGGAAAAATAACAAATGCTGGAAAAATATGTTGGAAAACTTTACTGGGAGAAATTTTAAGCCACACATCCCTTTTGAAAAACATACAGACTTTCCAACAAAAGGCTAAAAATAGATCTATCATGATTTAGTAGTTTTCATTACTGGGTACATGAGATATAATGGCATATATGATTAATATTTAAATTAAATTAAAAAGTATTACAGTAAAAGTTGCATTGTTATTAATTCCACTCAAAATACTATCGCTTGATTTGAACATACTTATCCCATCATTTTGCCACTTACTGTGCCAGTCCTATTTTATGAATATATTTATGAAGTGTGATAAAATATGATGAATCCTGCTGTTAAGTATGATCCAATGGAAAACAAGGCACACACAGACATTACAAAGTGTCCTCACCCATCTTATTTATTGGATGTGGAACCATGAGGCATCTGGTTCTTCTCCAAGGCAACATGGCCATAAAAAGTAAATTGTTGGAGTCAGTCTCAGACAGAGAGGCAGCCATGGTCATGAAACTGAAGACACATGCCTCGCTTTTCTCACTACTGAGACAAAATGCCCATCATCCAAGGTCAAAGGAGCAAAGGCATATTATACTTCACAGTTTGTAGAGGTTTCAGTGCATAGCTGGTTTCCTGTGAGGGAGAGTGGCACAGCGAAGGAGAAATAGATCATGGTAGGTAGAGGACAGCACAGCAAAGCGCCAAAATAATGAGACAAAAAGCAACAAGTAGGGGCTGGCCAAATAGCTCAGTGGATTAAAGCACCTGCAAGCAGGCGCAGGGGCCAGGGGTTTGATCGCTGGGACTACTGTCCCCACCCCTGGGATGGCAATTGAGACCCGGTATAGTGTTGTGCACCTGTAATTCCAGCTCTTGGGAGGCTGCAAACAGGTGGATCACTATGAATCTGATCCAGTAGTGAGACATAAGACCCTGAACAACCTGTAGACCCTTCCTTAAAAATAAAAATAAAAACAAAGCAACAAGTGACAGCAATCTTCTTTCAGCTAGGGCACGGAGCACTCACACTGAGGACAGTGGAGCATTCATCCTGGCACCACCCCTGAAATCAATCCCAGCATCACGGTCTTGATCCTGCAATCACATACCTTAGATCTAGCCACCTCAGAAAAGCCTACTTCATGATCAGGCAGGGCTGTATAGGGACATGTAGCTGTATGCCATAACATTATGCCCCTGCACCCTCAAATACTCACGTACATCTCTTTATGAAGAAGGGATTCAGATCATCCTTAACAGTTGCCAATGTCCTAGCAGTTTCAGCTTTGCTGAATAGTCCAAGATTTTAGCCAAACTCTTAACTCCTAGCCCCTGAACAAATAAAAGGAAAGTTAAACTCTTCCAATATGCAATGGAACAAAAAAGTACGGTAAAAAGGTACAAATAGGGGGATATCAAGAAATGGGACCAAAGTGAATCTAAAATCTAGCAGGAAAAACACTAAGACATGTAGTTCTAGGTCCAGGACCTGGGGCTATCTGGGAAAGATGTGAATGCCAAAGGACTTGCCCAGCTTTGTCCTGTAGCACTGCAACTAGTTTTTACTCCCACAGCCTCTCTCTCACACTAGCTCTGCTCCCTCCTTAAAGTTTTTCTCGGGTACTTCACATTCCTGCCTTCTCATTGAACTTTCAGATACACACCGCCTGCTTCACAAACTGAGCTATCAGGGAAACACTGCCTGGTTTCCAAAGCCACCTTCTGAAATCTGGGTGAATGCCTTCTGACCCCACAACTTTTACATCTTCATTTAGCTAAAACTAGTGGCATGCAGATGATGCCACGTTCTGCTTCCAGCTGCTGTAGTAGCCAGGCTCCAGGCTGCACCAAAGCCCAGGAACAGCTCCCTACGCACAACTTCCATGTTCACAGGTGATGTGGATTATCATGCTATGGAGCTCTTTGCTCACACTCAAGCCTTTCACTTTTGCAATTTTGAGGATGCAAAGGGCAGAGGCATTTTGATTTTTTTTACATTCTAAGGCTATATTTTCTATTTTCCTCTTCTAAACGATTTAGTTTTTACTTCTTAGTCTTTTCAGTGTCCTATTTGTCTTCCATTCCATCTTTTCATGTCACAACATGACTGGAGCTTCTTCACTGACCAAATTCTAAACATTTTAAATCATCCTGGGCTCTTTGCTCTCAAGTCTCTACATAAATCTAGCTGAAAGCCCTGAAATGTAGCCATCCCATGGGGTCATAATGAAATTATCTTGCAATTTTTCAGTCATATTAATTATTCTGTTACTCCTCATGTCAGTCTTAGGAAAAGTCTCTGGACATGAGAACAACATAGGCAAACTTTCTGCCAAAGCATAACATGTATCATTTGGTGATCAACAGCCAACAGAGTCATTTTACCCAGCAGAAACATCCTGAGCCTGACTTGACTGGCAGCATTTCTATGAGCATTCTGGTCTTCTGAGCTTGGAATAGAACTCCCATCAAGTAGAGCTAAAGGTACTCCTATTCTGCTGCTTCTGCTAGGATCTCTAAATCTTTCCGAACTCTTCCCACAAGCTAGTTCAAAAAGCTCCTAGCCATCATGGTCATGTGTAGTCACAGTGCTGGTTCCCCACTTTCTAACGCAAAACTCTTGTCTTAATTATATTTCTTTTTGTTGAAACGAATACCCCAACCCAAACTAAAGTAGCAAATTTTTATTTCAGCTCACAGTTTGGAAAGGTTTCAGTTCATAATTGGCTGGATCCAAGGCAGGATGGTATGGCACAGGGGCATTGAAAAGGAGAAATAAATCAACATAAGCAGAGGGCAGCAGGGCAAAAGGCAGCAAGCGGTAAAGTTGTGAAGCAGCAAGCAACAAGTGACAATAAGAACCATTCTTTCTGTTAAATAGGTAGTGCTCACACCAAGGCGGAGGGAGACATCATCTTAGCATCACATTAGGAATCACTTTCAGTATCATGTTTTTGATTCCAACATTACACACACTAAATCCAGCCATCTCTGAAAAACCCAGCCTGTGACCACATGAAGCTTTGAGGAGACACCTAGATAGAAGCCCACACCACACTCATAGAAGAGAGCATCAAGAAGTACTTCATGGGCCTGGTGAGATTCCTCAGTGTTCTAAAATGCCTGCTTAGGCAAGGTTAGGCAAGTTCAGGGACTATGGTTCACATGCCACCCCCAGTGCAGGCTGAGCAGGCCCCCCCCCCAAAAAAAAAGTACTTCAAAAATGTTAAGAATGAAGGAATAAGTGTATTAAGAACAAGGAGACGTTTTTAAGGGGATTAAAGGCAAGATGTACTTCCCTATAATAAATTTGTTTTAAAAAGTAAACATTTACTACGTCTTTTGATTACACCTGGTACATCAAAGGCAAATGAAATCAGCTTCCAAAAGCTGTGCTTGCACAGCCATACTTATTGTGGCACTATTCAGAATAATTAAGATATGCAGTCAGCTTTGTGCCTTTGACAGAAAGCTGAATTAATAAAATTTAGTATCCCATAGAGTGATGTATTATTTAACTATAAGGTAGAATGAATTTCTGTCATTTGCAGCAAAACAAATGGAAATGGAGGGCATTGTTTTAAATAAAATGAACCATACTTAGAAAAGTGAGTATTACATAAACTTTTTCATATGCTTAAGCTAAAAAGAAGTTGATATAAAGTAATAAACATAGGGTGTTGTGGTTTGCAGTTTTATAAGGTAAAAACAATACAATAGAGGCCACTTATTTTATAAAATTATTTTATAATGTATCGCAAAAAGAATCATACACAAAAATGCAGAAAATGTGTCTACATGCTAAAGAA